AACACTAACTTTTGAATTTGGAAGAATTTGTCTCGTATGATGTTTGGAGGTACAGACAATACTAACTTTCAGATTTAAAAGGATTTGTCTTATATGATATCTAAAGGCACAGACTACTAATCTAGTAGAAAGCTACAGTAGAAACTAGATTTGTGCGAACATCAAACAAAGATATATAGAAGCTAAATTGGGATATAGTGTAGCATAGTTAGATACTATAGCATCCTATTGATTAGGAAGTTGGTGAAAAGATATCTTGTGATAGGGTCTAGACTCTGAATTATAAAGTTTGTGAACTATTGTCAGCTCGGGTATCTTCTAAAAAGAGAAGTAGTATAGGGTTAGGTAAACTTTGGTAAAATAAGAATAGATTATGAGTAAGTGTCATAGTGCCAGAGGGTTTAAATAAGTAATCTTTAAATAGATTTCAGGTATAGCAGCTAGTATAGAACCTTCAAGCAGACTACTTAAATTAGACAATTTAAAGTTGTATGTATGGCTAGTTATACTCTTACAATATATATCATTTACTCACTATTAATACTAATAAAAGTTTTAGCTGATAGCATTTGTATAAAGTAAAAAAAAAAAATAATAATAATAAAAAAACCTATTTTTAAGTTTACAACTATTCTATTTACTAAACTATACTAAAATTTTTATATTACTATATATAATTCCTTAATATAAAATAAATAGCAGACTTCAGTTCTTTATAAATCTTACTAGAATTTATCTTTATCTCTCAAGCAACTATTAATAAATATTAAACTATACAAAATTTGCAAAAGATTTTAATTTCTATTTAATAAGATTTATTATATTTTTTGCAATTAATATATTTAACTAAGAAAAAAAATATCTTATAATTAAACAAGACAAAAAATTTAATATTACTTTTCTTTTTAATATTTCTAAAACACAATTTTTAAAAAAACTTTAATATTTTTTTTTTAAAAAATTTACTAGAATACTTTAAAATTGGTTTAAAAAATTCTTTCTAGTTTATAACTAGCAATTTAATAAATCTTTAAACAAAACAAAAGTTTACAATATTTTTCAACAGAATATGAAATAGTTAGATTACAAACTTTTAATAAAAGAAAATTAGAAAGTATTAAAAGTTCTAATCACTATATTCTAACTTGTAATAATAAGGCTTGTATCTTTTTAGTTAATAGAAAATATAACTTTTTAACTTTATTTTTTATTATTATTAAAGTAGCTTTCTTTGCTGATTAGATTTTATTAATTTATTATAGAGTTACTATAGTAGTAATCTCCTAGAGTTTTATAGTTATATGATGAATATATAACAAGCTATATATATAACTTTAATCATTATCTAATTTAAGTAGTTTGCTATACAGATAATTAACTATTTGTTAGTTTTACACTATACTACTATATTTGCAATCTACCTGTGAGTTATCTATTTAAATACTCTGATTATTAACTCTTTTCCTATCTCAAACTAATATTACTACTATATCTAACTATTTAAGCTAACTGACTTGCTCATAGATTCATTTACTATATAACTTAGATTCTCTCAGAATTTGTATTACCCAATATATTGTAAGTATACAGAGCTCCAGTTAACCTTAAAAGTATACCTACTAGAGTAGTCTATACTCATTTCACAAATTCATCTAGTTTAGACCCTTATGATATTTGTATAACTCTAGTTTCTACTATAGCTTTCTACTAGTGTTTATTACTAGATTTCTCTAGATATTTCACAAAGTAGATTTTTCTAAATCTAGTTAGCTACTAAGCCAAATTAGTACTATTAATTTTTATCATAAAACAGACCTACTCATACCTATTCTGATCTATATCTTTTGAAAAAATCTCTTTTTAGATCAAGCATTAGCTAATATAATTGTTAAAAACTATTCTATTTTATTAACTTAGAGTTTCTACTATGCAGATCCTCTGCTTATATATCTAATACAAATTTATTCATATAACATTACTAATATTTAATTGACTTAGTATAATACTATTTTTTTACAGAGTTTTGTTACATCTTCTAGGACTCTCTTTTCAAGAATGAGCAGAGTTTTCTGTAAGTTTAGTATATAGGTCTAGGTATTATTCAAATTTGTCAACAGTAGAATTTGAATTCCAGATCTATTATATAGCAGTCTGATAATCTAACTACTATACTAAATTACTAGACCTTAATTTTTTAACTTTACTTAAAAGATATATAGCTATTTCTATAAATTATTTTCTAAAAAAAAGAGTAAAATCTAAAAAAAGTTTACTTTTAAAATTGAACTATTCAAACTTAAAGAAAAATACAAAGCAATATTCTCTAAACCTATTACAATTTAACTTCTAGATTAACTATTAAATAAAGCTAAAAAAGAAGCTTATAAACTTAACAAAGTAGAAACTAATACTAAATATAGAAATTTTTACTTTTACTAATACTTTAATTCTTATCACTATAAAGCAATAGTAAACTTTGAGATTATTGATTTATCAAAATATAAAACTATTGAATTTATTTATATTAAAATATTAAATATATTTACATTAGCTTATATCTTGACTTATTATGATATAATTTGAGATATAATATCTACATACTTACAAATAATCAAATACTTTTCTAAACAAACATTTCTCTTTGCTAAAAAATATCTAAAAGAAAAATGTAATATTAATTTCTAAAAACCTAAAAACTTAAAAGATTTTCTGTTTTTTTTAGAAACTTCTTTTCAATAAGATCTTAAATATACATAGATACAACCACTACCTTTAATTTAAACTCTTATTTTACTATTTATAGTAAACTATATTTAGAAAAAATAATATAAGTAATAATTAGAGTATTTAAATAAGTAATTCATAAATAGATTACAAATATAATAATTAGTATCGTAATATCTATACGTAGACTACTTAATTAGATAATAACTAAAATTATATATTAATATAACTATAACACTAGGTATTTATCTATATGTAACATATATGTAACCTAATACAAATTAATAAAATCTCAATAACAATATAAGCTACCTTAAACTAAAAAAAAAAACTATATCTTTATATAAAATTTTAAGTCTATTAATTATAAAAAAATTATACTTGTATTTATTATAAAGTTTTTTTAGATAACTTAAATTTTTTAGATCATATAAAAATAATCTATTCTAATCAGTATATATTACTTATATATAAATAATCTATTCTAATTAGTATATATTACTTCTACGTATATAAATAATCTATTCTAATCAGTATATATTACTTATATATAAATACAAAGTAGTAAGAGTTCTTAAATACCAAAGAAAACATATAAAGTAGCACCATAGTGCTGTTGCTATAATATTCTTTGGGAATTATGTAATCAAATGCTCGTAATTCTCGGAGTTCACAGAACCACACTTTTTATAGATTTACTAAGCTACTCATTCACTACTTTACAAATGTCTTCCGAATACCCATATGTATGTTGTCAATCCAAATTGAAATTGGCCCCATAACATTAAAATTTCAAAATTTTTTTTTATATAACCCTAAAATTTAATTCTGTTAATAGATTCTATCCGAGGCATACCGATTCTGAATAATGCCGATTCCAATCAAGGATACGACATATATTTATATGCATACATATTGCATATAATTAAAGATCAATATGCGTAATTTAAAATATTATGTACATACAGCGTGTAACATCTATTTTGGTATATTATTTTACTTCCATTGTTCAATACATAAATAACATTAGCCGATTTACACGTGATAATATTATTTTCGCGTATATTATAATAATATTTTTTTTACATATGTATGTATACGTATATATCTGATATATCAGATATGTATAATGTATGTATAATCTAATATTGTATAATTATATAAAATATAATTAGACAAATTATATGCAGTACTAAATGAGTCATTTTCAATAATTAAAATTAGAAGGAAAAACAAAGTTTAGTATAAAAATGTTTTGATTTACATTTTATAGATAAATTCCTGGTTGGTTCGTGCGTTTTCATCTCCTTGATTAAATAATAATGATAAAATGAATAACATAAATTACAACTAAATTATTAGGTCATTGAAAATATGCTTAATTAAGAAAGATATTGAATAAATTTTAGTAAATTGAATAAAGAACCAATATCATCAATAAGTACTTTGAAAAGTTATCTCTAGTTTTTTTTTTTTTTTTAGATTAATACTAAATTTACCGTTTTTACTATTATCCAATATGTAATACGCGTAATATGACCTGTGTCTATGCAATCAAAAGAAAAAGTAAATTAAAAATAAAGTTCTGAAACATTTAAACGAAACATTATTATTATTTTTAACGCATTTTATCGTGAAAATAAATTCATTAAAGTGTGCATGACCCAGTCATGAAAAAAGTTGCAATGCATTTTATTATTTTTAATACAACCAATAAAATCTTCAAATACGTTTAACCACATATTTACGCGACGTCATTCCTCAATTAAAATAATTACATTAAAAGAAAAAGTAGTAGACTTAAAGAAGTTATGAAATCAAATAAAATATCAAATCTTATTTGTGTTGAGACCAGCTCAAAAAAAAAAAAAAAAAAAAAAAAAGATAAAAGGGAAAACGAATCCAGTTCGAATTTTTTTAAAAAAAAGAAAGAAAAAGAGAAGGATAGAAAGAAAAAAAGAAAAGCAAAGAAGGAATTGAGGCAGTAAAAGTAGGAAATTAAAAAGCTTTAAAAAAAAAAAAATCAATAATGAATTTCTAAAGAACTGGTAAAGAGAGAAAAATTACGTATTATATTAAGTAAAATGTCATCTCTAATAAAATAAATGCACTTTTAAACATTTTTTGAATATGAATAAGAGCAATTAGTTCAACACAGCTGATATTGACATAATGTTAAATTTCCGTTTATTATTCTCCCTAATTATAATAAATATCAGATATAAAATATGAAATCATAGTTTAAAATTTTCGAATAATAACATTTTCTAGTATTTTTACCTTGTAGCATTCTGAATAGCCAAATCTGCGAGTTGCTCTAAAGCTGCTGTACAATTATTCTTATGATTATGATACATTGGAACAGGGGACGGTATTGGTGTATAGGTCGGTGTTGGAGGAGGACTATAGTTATAAGTAGGACAGTTTAAGTGAATTTCTATGGCCTCAGGGCTCGAGATTGGAGATTGCAGCGAATGCCAAGAATTTATTTGATAATAATGGCCTTCAGGAATCCACCGTTCGGTGAGCGAGTTTTCTAGTGATATTTGTTTAAATGTTTTTTTCCGAGAAATATGTGATGATTCTATATATTACAAAATATGATTAATATATTTTTTATATAACGATTATATGATATCAAAAAAATAAAATTGAATTAAATTATATACCATAATCACTTAAAGAAGGTGAGGTAGAGACATCCTTAGTGATGCGACGTTTTTTTGGTCTTGGAGAATCGGATGAAACACTTGTACTACTTGTAGCATCATCTGAATCTTCAATAATCGTAGCATGGTGACCACGTTTTTTTGATAATGAGGAATAATACCGATTTTTGATTAAATTGGCAGGTCTTCCTAATAATTGACTCATCACTGCCCATTTTGTACCCATTTCAGAAAAATATAATAGTATTTTTTCATCTTCTTCGGGAGTCAAGGGGCCATATGTTACTATCATTGATTCATATTAGAGATAAAATTATCAAAAGGAATGAATAAAAGATAAGTAATGCAGGATAAGTGAATTTTCACTTACAGTCAGGGTTTAAGTGGTTATGCCATCTAATCAGGGAAATAAAATAATTATTATTGGGAACGATGTATTATAGAAAAAATAAAGTATTATTATATATTTGTTTTGTTAATATTTACCGTTCGCGACATTGCTTTCCGTCACGAAGACCATGTCTTATTCCAATTAATTTCCAGTGCTTCACACCCAATTCTGCTACTATTTCTAATAACTTTTCATCTTCCTAACATTGATCCATATTTAATACATATATATAAAGATTTTAATAGATGATTCAGTGTGATAACGAACCTGTGGTTCCCAAGGGCCCGTCCTGCGGGATGCATTATTTCGTGGCTCTTTACGAGTTCTTCGTGTATTCATTATTTTAATTTTTTTGATCTGTGTATGGAAAGGTAACGGTATTAAAGAAGATTTCGATATTCGAACTAAGAGTTTTAAGGAGGATGAAAATGATTTGTTGTAAGAGAAAAATTGAAAGAGGAAAAGAAGGAATGTGGAAAAACAGGGAGTTCCGAGTGTGAGTGATAAATGGATGGAAAGTTTTGGAAAACGTGAATTTAAAGATACTGGCAAGGACAGCTTATTTAGTATAGGAAAAAAGAACGCGGAGACTGCCAAACTGCCGGCACAAAATTTAGGCTAATCTTTTTTGCTTATCAAGAAATTTAGGAAAGAAAAGAAAAAATTTTTTTTTGTTTGTTCCTTGATATTTTTATAAAGTTAACAAACATATAAAAATGCGGAGTCAACTGTACGTGCTTTTTAATCAAGGTTCGATTCAAAATAACATTGATCAAAGAATGATAATTGTTTTTTTTTTTTTTTTAAAAAAAAAAAAAAAAAAAAACGCTTTTTATTTATAAGTCCTCAAAAAAAGAAAAAAATAAAAATCCCTGCATCTTCTATCTAAAATTGCCAGTTTTTTTCTGGTGCCTTTGTAGTGATAGTCGTATATGGAAAGGTTTCGTTGATGCATCTCTATAAATAATATTCAAGTCTCCAGATTTTAAGCTTTTTTTTTTCCTTTTTTTTTTTAAAAAAAAAAAATAATAATTATATAATAAAAAAAAAGAAAGAAATCTCGCGTGATCCAATGGTACAAGAAAGTTTTATTATCAAAGGAGTCCTAAAACGATTATTCATTGTTGATATAATCCATATATTTGTGGATGACAATGCAGTTCATTTACCTCCGGGCTGAATGATCGATGCAGTTTTTAGTATTGGAAACATGAAAGTATTTTTAACCCAAATATCTTTTTTAATAGCAAGAGCCATGTCAAACGAAGTATAGATTTCGTTATTTTCTAGCCACATTAAGTAGTTTGTTTAGCATTCACATGACATGTGCTCATTGGAATTTTTCCTAGGTTTTTTTTTTTTTTTTTTTTTGACCGTTGTTATAAAGAATTTCGATGTCATTAAATTAATAACATTAAAAAAACGTGTGTGGTTCGCGATTTGGTGGATGTAAGCATTTGTTGCATAGGAACGTTGCCTTATAAGGTTCTCAGACTTAAATATATTTTAAAAAGACGGTTTATATTCATTATCTTTGTTATTGTTCTTCATCCCCTGAATTTACTAATTTCAATTCCATCAACGAAGCGTTGCGTTTATGTATGCAGCTTAAATTTGAACGTGGAGGTGAAATCATGAGCAGTATCACAATTTCGAAATTCTCAAATTTAAATTACAAATTTCTTCATGTAATAACGATCAACCAATCTAATTTACAATGATTAAAGCAACAAATAATATAATTCTTTTAATTATTTTAATGTCAAATCTTATTCAAACAAACGATCTCAAGTCCTATTATGATATATATATGTTAGTTGGGTTTGCTATTCGGTGATTCATGCACGTAACAAAGAATAATTGATCTTTTTGTTATGACATTGATGCAGTAATATGAGAGCTCTGTAGTATTGGTGATTACAAACGCTTGATATAGTAATTGATGTAAATAACATTTTCCGAAATCTCGAAATATCATCGCTATTAAAGTATACCTTTATGCTAACTTTCTTGATCGATTTCAATTATTATTTTTACAGTATAACTATTATTTTTATTAGTTCTCGTTAATTCTTGGCATAACAAACGAGTTATGAAACAATTGGTTCTTCGTTTGCGTAGATTGGATCTGCCTTTATTGTAATGATGAACTATCGATTTTTTTTTCAAACGAGGTATTACGAAAATTATTATTAATGATTTTGCATTATAATCAGATAGACGGTACTTAAATAGATAATCCGAATTTTTGGTTTAAATTATAAAAAAAATTCAGGAATATTTGATAATTTTGCTTGTTTGAATTATCTTATATATCTTTTTTTTTTTTTTTTTTTTCCAAATATTTTTTTTTTTTTGTTTCTTTTATTTTTTTTATTGTTTTTTAAATGAGGGG